AGGTGAGGAAAGTAAGGAATTCTTCACACTGCCCTGATGCTCAGAGCTATCACACATGCAACAGTAAGTTTTCTGATGTGATGAAAAATAGCAGTGGTTATAATCCATGGAAGGGAAGGGATGCCTCCAGATGCAGGTCCACAGCCAGTCGGGGGGGGGGGGCCAACCAGGTGGTAGTAGGGGGGGAGGGGGATATTGGTGTGCATAATCTGGCCCCCCCCCCCCGACTGGCTGTGGACCTGCATCTGGAGGCATCCCTTCCCTTCCATGGATTATAACCACTGCTATTTTTCATCACATCAGAAAACTTACTGTTGCATGTGTGATAGCTCTGAGCATCAGGGCAGTGTGAAGAATTCCTTACTTTCCTCACCTGTAACTTAGATGTCTTCAAGCGTGTAGCAAATTTTCATAAAGGAAACTGAAGGAAGACTTCTGAGGGGTCTTTTCAAATGGTTGCTTTTTAGTACCATCAGAGGGGCAGAGGGTGAGGGGCAGCATGATTTATAGGGTCTGCAATGCTAACTTTGTTGGTCCCATTTTCTTTCCTGGCAGCCAATTCCTATCTTTCTTACCTTACACAATGCTGCAGATGTTCCATTTTATGGAGTGGAAGCCTCAGTACAGAAAGAGGTATGGAGAACTAATTAAATAGCCTATCAGTGTTCTGTAGTCTCTTTGTTAACTGTATTTTCTTAGGCTAAATATTTCAGATATTAATCTTAACGCATGCACAAACATTTAATGAAATCGTTTTGCAAATTAATTTCAAATAATTTAATTCTGCTAGGGGATGATATACTTAAAGTAAATCTTTATGAGATTTATGAGAGAGAGAGAGATGGAGAGAGAGAGAGCGAGCATATGAAGGGAAAATTGTATGATAAGGAGTATTATTCTGAAGTTTCATAAAAAGCTTGTTTTGAGGAGGCCTTGGGTTGAATCTACAAGAGCTGTATTTTAATGATGGCACTGCCTTATTCTCAAGTGCTCCTTGATGTCTCCCATTCCCTTTTTCTTATTGGAGCCCTTTGTGCTCCCCACTCCAGACCATGAGGGCCACTTTTCACTGTGGAGGTTTTGCTAATCAGGCAAGCAGGGCTAGCAGAAATCCATCTGCCTCCTTTGTGTAAGTGAAAATGCACACTATTAAAGTTAGACCATCATTAGTCCCAGAATGATTTTGGTAGGATCCTAATTTAGCTTTCTGATTCTGGATCTGTTCCCTACCTAAAACTGGGGTGCTGTGCTGCCTTTAACTCTGGGCCTTGGGTCATTTTCTTTATCTAGCTTGTTCCCTTTAGTGGAGCTTTCTCCTGATGTATTTGGCTACAATCTCATCATACCAACCAGTATGTAGGTTGGCTGGGAATGATGAGAATTGTGTATACATTTATGGAGAACAAAAGGTTGGGGAAAGAAAACTATACTAAATCTTACTCAAGATGCTTGAGCTGGATTTGATATCCACAGCCCACATTTTAGTATAAATGCAAACCACTATGTATATTTGGACATTTTATAATGTTTAATACTGATAATTATTTCCAAGTGAAATGTGTATTGCACAAATACAAATATTTAAAATATTTTATGGAGCTGATCCATCTGCTAAACATTCCAATACCAGTGTAGGATAGATAATCTTTTGAAGGGGCCTGCATTCTCTTTTGTTTATTTTGGGCAGCTGATGATAGAAAGTTTGCTACCAAAACTTGGAATTGTGATATATAGGATCTCTAGAGATTATTTAAAAAGTTCATGGGATATATAAGATCTACAGACAACTGGATGCCCACCCCAGTGTACTGGTGAGAGTGCTAAGTAAGGATTGGGGAAACTCAGCCTGAAATCTGTAGTCAGCGGGTGACCTTTGGACTAGTTACTCTCACAGCTTAGCACATGTTCCTGGTTGTGGGGTAAATTAAGTTTTGTATTTCTCTTAATGAAGTCACAATAATTGAAATCCCATCAGAAAACAGGTGACATTCAGATGCATTATAAGGTAGTTTTCTTTCATTAATCATGTTTTGGATAGGAGGTCTTTGATCACATTATTGTATTTTTTTTTCTTAACAGCAGACCTCTGTCTTAAAACTTTGCAGGTAAGTTTCCAATGTTTGTCCAATGTGCAAATGTATGGAATTCCACAGAGATGGTAACTGAACAGTTGATCCTCTATTTAACAAAGGGTTAGGAGGTTCATCATATATTACACAGGTAGGTTGTGATTAGCGTGAGTCTGAAAAATATGATATTTAATTTAGTGCGAATTGTAAATTGATACTAAATTATAAATTTAGTGCGAAATGTAAATTGTAATTTGCAACCCAAAATTTGAGGGCTAATTAATTAATTAAAATTAATGTGAGGCTAACATGTGCGCAGTTGAGGCAAGCACATGTACGGTTGAGGTGGGGGTTTAGACATTGCTTTGCATGTGCAAAATGGAGAAAAGGAAGACTCCATCAGAGGAAAACAGTACAAGTTTAAAAAAGAAGAGGCTCATTATTACATTAGAGCACAAATTTAATGGAACGTGGAGATAGCAATTGTGATGGAATGGAATTATGAAGGCCAGGCTCAGGGAGAAAAACATTTTCTTTCATCTCCTGAGGAGCATGGGAAATATAAGAGGATGAGACTGGCACCTCCCTGTGGAATTCACAATGTTGTGGCTGGGATTACTTGGGAGCTGGAGTTTTAGTGTGGGGAGGTTCGTGCTAGGG